CTTCTTTTTCCACCCACTATGAGAGGCAGGTCAGGGAGAGGAGATTGAGCAGGGCTAACCCCACCTCAAGGCCCACCTCCAGGGCACACCTGCACCCAGCCTCTTACCTTGAACCCACAGCACAGCCCTTGCACCACAGCCCACGGCTCTGCAGCAGGGCCCGGCCTCTGGCTTCTCCCTGCCTACAGCCTGTCTCTGGGACAGCCTGCCTGAGGCCACAGTCCTACTGGCAGGTCCCAAGGCCCACACTGGACACTAACAGGAGTGCACACTTCTGGATTCTGCAAGTCAGTCAGTTGGTCAGTTCAGCTGGTCAGTCATTTCCGACACTTTGTGACCCCATGGACTGCAGCACGCCAGGCCTCCCTGTCCATCACCAACTCCCGGAGTCCACCCAAACTCCTGTCCATTGAGTCAGTGATGCCATCCAATCATCTCATCCTCTGTCGTTTCCTTCTCCTCCTGCCCTCAATCTTTCCCAGCATCAGGGTCTTTTCAAATGAATCAGCTCTTCACATCAGGTGGCCAAAGTATTGGAGTTTCAGCTTCAACATCAGTCTTGTCAATGAATATTCAGGACTGATTTCCTTTAGGATGGACTGGTTGGATCTCCTTGCAGTCCAAGGGACTCTCAAGAGTCTTCTCCAACATCGTAGTTCAAAAGCATCAATTCTTCAGTGCTCAGCTTCCTTTATAATCCAACTCTCATTTCCATACATGACCACTGGAAAAACCATAGCCTGACTACATGGACCTTTGTTGGCAAAGTAATGTCTCTGCTTTTTAATATGCTACCTAGGTTGGTCATAACTTTTCTTCCAAGGAGTAAGTGTCTTTTAATTTCATGGCTGCAATCACCATCTGCAGTGATTTTGGAGCCCAAAAAAGTAAAGTCTGCCACTGTTTCCATTGTTTCTCCATCTATTTGCCATGAAGTGAAGAGACTGCATGCCATGATCTTAGTTTTCTGAATGTTGAGGTTTAAGTCAACTTTTTCACTCTCGTCTTTCACTTTCATCAAGAGGCTTTTTAGTTCTTCTTTGCTTTCTGCCATAAAGGTGGTGTCATCTGCATATCTGAGGTTATTGATATTTCTCCCAGCAATCTTGATTCCAGCTTGAGCTTCATCCAGCCCAGCGTTTCTCATAAGTTAAATAAGCAGGGTGACAATATACAGCCTTGATGTACTCCTTTTCCTATTTGGAACCATTCTGTTGTTCCATGTCCAGTTCTAACTGTTGCTTCCTGACCTGCATACAGGTTTCTCAAGAGGCAGGTCAAGTGGTCTGGTGAATATTCCCACCTCTATCAGAATTTTCCACAGTTTGTTTTGATCCACACAATCAAAGGCTTTGGCATAGTCAATAAAGCAGAAATAGATGTTTTTCTGGAATTCTCTTGCTTTTTTGATGATCCAGCAGATGTTGGCAATTTGATCTCTGGTTCCTCTGCCTTTTCTTTAAAACCAACTTGAACATCTGGAGGTTCACGGTTCACATACTGCTGAAGAATGGCTTGGAGCATTTTACTTGAGCATTACTTTACAGGAGTGTGAGATGAGTGCAATTGGGCAGTAGTTTGAGCATTCTTTGGCATTGCCTTTCTTTGGGATTGGAATGAAAACTGACCTTTTCCAGTCCTGTGGCCACTGCTGAGTTTTCCAAATTTGCTGGCATATTGAGTGCAACACTTTTACAGCATCATCTTTCAGGATGTGAAATAGCTCAACTGGAATTCCATCACCCCACTATCTCTGTTCGTAGGGATGCTTCCTAAGGCCCACTTGACTTCACATTCCAGGATGTCTGGCTCTAGGTGAGTGATCTCACCATCGTGATTATCTGGGTCGTGAAGATCCTTTTTGTACAGTTCTTCTGTGTATTCTTGCCACCTCTTCTTAATCTCTTCTGCTTCTGTTAGGTCCATATCATTTCTGTCCTTTATTGAGCTCCTCTTTGCATGAAGTGTTCCCTTGGTATCTCTGATCTCTTGGTATCCCTTGGATCCTCGAAGTGTAGCCCAATTTCATGATGGCCGTCAGGGCTCTCTCTGGGCTCTGGGAGGAGAGTCGCGTGCACGCAGAGATGAGATGAGGGAGGCCAGGGGCCACAGGCGGCAGGGCAGAGCTTTTACAGCGGCAGGAAGAGCTCTACCTTGAAATCACTTCACAAACATTTTTTGGGTGCCTGCTATGTGCTGTAACCAACAAGGGCCTCTATTCCTGAGGTCGGGGCTGAGGGCTGAGGGAGAACCCAGGACACAGAAGAACAGTTACAGCTTTGGGAGAATGGGCCCGTCGATCTGACCACTGCTGACCCAGTCAGATTGATCTCTAGATTGTAAAGCATATCTCCCTGCCAGTATTTGAAGCCAAAAGAAACACTATTAAAAGCTGTACTTGAAAAATATGCTTGGAAGTGCTTTAGACTTTGGAAAGCTTACCAACCAGAGCAGCAGCAGGTGGTTGAAGGAGTAGGAAGAATGAGGCCGAACAGCTTTCCTTTTACAAAGACCACACCTGTGCTGCTGCTGCTTTTTTTTATCTTGAAAAATAAAAATTGTCCAAGAAAGGACTGGCCAAAAAGGGGGAGCTCACAGGCTCTGTGGACACCTGGGGTGGCAGGCAGGGCAGCGGGGGGCCAAGAGTGAACCCTGCCCATGAGCTCACAATGGATGGTTGGTGAAGGACTGGACTGTGGCACTATCTCTATAAAGCACATTTCGGTACTAGTGATAAGAACAAGGGACACTCAAACGGGGAGCGTGACCTCAAGCGAGGAAAGCAGCCACTCACGGGTGCTCAAGTCTCCCCGACCCCTGCGCGCCCGGCAGCAGCCAGCAGGCCACGGCGGGGCTGCCCGGCTGCCCCTTCTCTGTTCGCGAGCCACGCCCTTCCGCCCACCCTTCCGTGCCGCACGTTCTCCACAGCCCCACGTCGTCCAATGGCACCTCCTTCAAAACGTCAAGGCCTCATCTGACCTTCTCTGATCTTACCAGCTACACAGCACATCCTCATCTGAACCAGCTCTATGACAGCACTGTTATCCGCTATTATATTTACACTTATCTACACATAGGATACTTACATTTATTTACACACATGACAGTACTGGGGCTTCCCCGGTGGCTAACACAGCAAAGCAACGCAGGAGACCTGGGTTCGATTCTTGGGTCAGGAAGACCCCCTGGAAAAGGAAAGGGCAACCCACTCCAGTTTTCTTGCTTGGGAACTCCCATGGACAGAGGAGCCTGGTGGGCTTCAGTTCACAGGGTCACAAAGAGCTGGACACGACTGATCCTGAGTACACATACGATAATAATAATTACTGTGATACTTATTGTGTATTACTGTGAGGCATGTACCATAAATACGAGGCAAATGCTTTATGTATTTTCATTTCCTTAAACCTCATTAAAGCTTGAGGGGCTTGATATTATTATTATGTCCATTTTAAAGACACAGACCTTGAGACTCTGAGAAAGATGGTAAATGGCCTGTCCAAGAGATTACTGAGCTGGAAATGGCTAGACCTGGGATGCTACCAGTGTAAAAGCTCCCTAAAGAATATGCAAACTAGAACCACCATGAGATACCACTAATCACTTATTAAAATGGGCAAAACAGAAAAAAATCGATCATATAAAATGCTGTCAAGAATATTGGAGTAACAGGAACTCTCACACATTGCAGGAGAGAGTATAGAACAGCCTGGTCATATTGGAAAACAGTTTGGCAATTTCTTATAAAGTTAAGCAAAGGCCAGATGATCCAGTAATCTCACAAGAAAGGAAGACATAAGTCCACACACACAAACAACTCTTATGCAAATATTTAGAGTAGCTTTATTCATGATTGCCCAAACCTAGAAACAACCCAAATGTCTCTGAACTGGTTGTTCAGAGAGACACATTGTGTATATCCACCAAATGGAATACGAGTTAGAACAAAAAGGAGCAAACCACTAACACATGGGGCTTCCCAGGTGGCTCCGTGGTAAAGAATCCTCCTGTCAGTGAAGGAGACGCAGGAGACTTGGGTTCGATCCCTGGGTTGGGAAGATCCCCTGGAGAAGGCAATGGCAACCCACTCCAGTATTCTTGCCTGGGAAATTCTATGGACGGAGGAGCCTGGTGGGCTACAGTCCATGGGGTTGAAAAAGAGTCAGACACGACTTAGGCAACTGAGCATGCATGCAGGCGTACACTGACACACGCAACTGCATGGACACATCTCAATTATGTTATGCTAGATGAAAGAAGCCAGACTCAAAAGGCTATACATTGTGTGATTCCATTTGTAGACCATTCTGGAAAAGGTAAAACTGGGAAAAGAAAACTGATCAACTGTTGCCTGAGACCAAAGCCAGAGATTTGATTACAAAGGGGCATGAGATCGCTCTTTAGAGTGACAGAAATATTCTTTATCTTGACTGTGTGGTAGCTACATGACTATATACACTTGTCAAAACTCAAAGAACTTAAAGTAAAAGGGGTAAATTTTACTTGCGTGTAAATTATACCTCAATAAACCTGACATTTAAAAAAGTTCCCCAGGGAATTTCCTGGCAATCCAGTGGTTAGGACTCTGAGCTCTCACTGCTGAGGTCACAAGTTCAATCCCTGGTCTGGGAACTAAGATCCCACAAGCCATGTGGTGTGGCCAAAAAAAAAAAAAAGAATTCATGATGATTTTTTTTTAAAAGTTCCCCAAAGTTCCCTAAGAGAAGGATCATGGATGATAAGCCCTGCTTAGTCAAAAGCTTCTATTCTACTTTTGACCACATCTAGCATTTGTACTAACTGGTAAACTGAAGAGTACATTAATCTGAAATGTGTTATTATTCCACTTCCCTACTGATCCTTGGCTGAAGAATCAGTGAGGAAAAAAAACCAAAAAACTAACAAATGGTGCCTGAGCAGGAAGACAAGCTGGAAGCAGAGAAGGTCCATAAATGCTGAACCAGCCCAGGTTCACCAGACAGGTAACCGCGTGCACTAACCTGAGCGTGCTCCGTGATCTTCTGTTCAAAGATCTCAGTTTCACTAGAAGTTGAGGCTGCCTCCTCATTGTCATCAACTGATGGAAAACACTACCATGTGCTTTTAAAAAAGCAAAAATAAATACCAAAACTTAGTGCTTAGGCAGTGAATGTGATAAAACAGTATTTTACATAAAATTTTATAATAAAAATAAGACAAAGTTTTTTCAGCATCAGGAGTGCTGAACTGTATGAAAGGCAGCAGCTGCCCGTACACCCTAAATGAACCAATGAAGTAAGATATGCCCTAAAGACCTTCAGAGGTCTTACCTTGACGGCTCAGCTGGTAAAGAATCTGCCTGCAATGCAGGAGACCCCAGTTCAATTCCTGGGTCGGGAAGATCCCCTGGAGAAGGGACAGGCTGCCCACTCCAGTATTCTTGGGCTTCCCTGGTTGCTCAGCTGGTAAAGAATCTGCCTGCAATGCAGGAGACCTGGGTTTGATCCCTGGGTTGGAAAGATCCCCTGGATAAGGGAACAGCTACCCTCTCCAGTATCCTGGCCTGGAGAATTCCATGGACTGTATAGTCCACGGGGTTGCAAAGAGTGGGAAATGACTGAGCGACTTTCACTTTCACTTTCAAAGACCCTCGGAAGGTTCCCAACTGGCCCAGCCCTGGAGCTGCCACTACAGCAGATTCTCAGACAGCATCACTGCTGCTGGGTCACAGGGGAAAGGGGAGTTTAAAAAGCATCTCTGACTTCAAGTGGGACCAGCTGCATCTCAGACCCCAGGGCCTTCCTGTTCCAAGACGGTGGGGCTGGCGTTGCTGCGTGTCCTAGATCATCAGTCAAGGAGAGGGCTGTCTGAGGCACCAGAGGGGGGTTTCAGATCTGTCAGGCTCCGAGATCCGAGAGGCAAGCACCATAAATATCTGCCTGACTCTCCATGTTCCCGTTATCTAGCATAATGCCTGGTCAGTGGACATATCAAAAGATGCTCAATGTTTCTAGAGGGCAGCCTGGCATGTATCCCAGTGACCAAGCAAGAGGAAATCACTGAATTGGCCTGTCAGCTCTGAGGCCCTGTGCTCAATGAAAACAAGCCAATACAGAGTCCTTACGCGTCCTAATTTCCTATGTTAAAGTCTCATATGTGCCACCAAGGAAATATTCACTTAGATGAAGATGATTAAGACTTTAATATCAAATGACATACTTTTAAAAATGTGAATTCATGTGAAAAGTGTTAGGCTTTTTAAACTATAGCTGTCTTCTTTGATGCATCTTCTGCTTGTTTAATCTTTAAGGAAAGGGAAGAAAGCAACAGAAAGAAAGTGGTACCTCTTCTGGATACTGAAGGGTCCACTTCAACACCTTTTTCATACGGGGTGCCTCCATTCAAGAAGAGCTTGTAAGTCCTACAAAAGAAAAGGACACGGTGCACATGTGACGCTGTGCAATAGCGGGGTCAGCAGTGGAACATTGTCTTAGCACAAGCACATCAACAGGCATTTTAGTTATGTCTCACTCATTGGTAAATGAGAACGAAAGTTGTTATCCTTCCCCAGGGTTATCCTCTCAGTAAACTGAATCTCCGTCTTAACTATGAACTATAGAAAATACATTTCCCACGTTAAAGTGAGAAAGATTAACTGATGTCATTTTGAGCCTCCCGGCGCTGGGAGGCTGCCACCACCTCAGGGTGTCACTGCAGGAACACTCTCAGCACACGGCTGGGGCAGACACCTTGTAAGACGCCTTTGCTGTCTGTGTCATGCCTCCCCAGCTAGGATGAGATCATGCGTGCTGCTCTCACATACCACCTTCAAAGAGTATTAACGTGAAGTCAAAGTGTTAGTGGCTCAGTCCTGTCTGACTCTTGGGCAACCCCATGGACTGCAGCCTGCCAGGCTCCTCTGTCCAGGAGATTTCCCAGGCAAGAACACTGGGGTGGGTAGCCCTGCCCTCCTCCAGGGGACCTTCCCGACCCAGGGATTGAATCTGGGTCTCCTGCATGGCAGGTGGATTCTTTACCATTTGAGCCACCAGGGGAGCCCCAAAGAGCATTAAAATCAGCATTATAAAGTCCTCTCCCCTCAAGTTACTGAAATGTGAAACCTCTGGAAAACTGAGGTGTCTAGATTCTAAAAAACGAATTTCCACAAAATTACCCACTTGGAGGGAATATATAAACCCAACTTACTTTGCTGGAATAGGAATTCCAGTGGCGTCAAAAAGTTTCAGAAACACCCAGCCACAGCTCAACTCTCCTCTTTCACCAGTGGACTAGAAAATAAAACTGGGTATGAAACTTCGTGTCTGAATCAGTCAAATGTATAAGCACATACCAAGCTCTTCTGAAAGCAATAAAACTAGTATTTGCCTTTAGAACTGAGAAGCTCTTCGCAAGAAAACAGAGTGAAGAAGGCCAGGGGAGGCTCACTGGGCTCGCAGGCAGACAGTGCAGGCAGGGCGTCAAGGGGACATCTTACCTTAAGTCGCTCCTGAAAAACCCTAAGCCTGATGCTAGGACAACTGTTGCTGTTCTTTCCTGAGTGATATAAATATGCCGGGAAATGATCCCAGGTCACATCAACGCTACATTCGAGCAGGGGGCTTTGGGTCTCAGTGAGAAATGGAATGAGTCAACTACGTCCCTCAAGGGGCTTCCTGCTCAGAACATCACCCCCTGCCCCCATCAACTATCAGAGGCCAGTGCGCTCCCCTGGGGGGTCCTGCTCCTCGATCCTGTCTAACACAGCAACACACACGGGTGAATCTGCCTTAAAGAAATGAAAGGGCAGGACTTCCCTGGTGGCGCAGTGAGTGAGAACCCATCTGCCTACTCGGGGGACATGGGTCTGATCCCTGGTCTGGGGGAAGATTCCATGTGCCACGGGGCACCTAAGCCCGGGCGCCCCCACCGCTGAGCCCGCTCCGCAACAAGAGGAGCCGCCGCAATGAGGGACCGGTCACCAAACGAGGAGCAGGCCTGCCCGCAGCACCGGAGACCCAGCGCAGCCAGAAATAAACAATGAATGAGTAAGTTTCTAAAAAACAAATGAAAGGACAGCATAACACCATTAACGGAATTTAACAACCACCTCTCTGGGTTACCACGAAGCCAAGCGCACACACCACACCTGTGAAGCTATTACTAAAATATGGAAATATATATTACCACAGACCCACACCCACTGATTCAAGAGTTTATATGGTGTAAGTTAATCCAAGTTTCTGATGTTCCCTTAATAAAAACGACCACTCTGCCAGGTCCCTTCATTAGAACCCCCATTTACAAGGTGAAGGGCACTCTGACTCTCAGGGACAGGGGCACAGCTCTGTGCTGGAAAGCCACTGAACTTCTTCTATCACTTCCTGTAAAGTCCCATCTTTTTCAAATCTTCATTCTTATAAAGTGCTGGAGTTCACTCCAGCTATAAATACAAAGAAAAAGAGTTGCTTTAAATGCTGCTGAAAAAGTAGCATCATAAAAAAAAAAAAAATTAGACTCACTGCCATTCCTCAAGAGGTTAATATTCTGTTACACAGAAAAATCTCAATTATTGTTACTAAGAACAGACATTTAGAAAAAAGAGTTCCCTTTTAACTGATAATCAGAAAGCTTTATCTTTCAACTGACATACATTGCGAATATAAGAAATTCCAAGTTCAAATAATATTCCAAGATCTGGAGAGGAAGAATTGGATCTGATGAAACAGTCGCCATCAAGCAAGCAGGGCAAGATGCCAGTAACCTGAAACAAAGCAGAAAACATGAGTTACTAAGAAACATGGAAAACAGAAGGAGGAAAAACAAGGAGGTCCTGCCGTCAGACAGGGAGCCAGAGTCACTAGCCTGTGATAAACCACAATGGGAAAGAGCATGAGAAAGACTGAATGTACATGTGTAACCTACTCACTTTGTTGTGCAGCATCAACTACACTTCAATAAAAATAAACTTTTTTAAAATGTCAGGACAGTTCAGCTCTATCATCTGCTTCATAATAAAGGTCTTTTTTCTTTTAAGATTTTTAAAAAATGTAGACCACTTCTAAAGTCTTTATTGAATTTGTTACAATATAGCTTCTGCTTTATGTTTTGGTTTTCTCGTTGCCAGACCTGTAGGATCCTAGCTCCCTGAACAGGGATTGAACCCACAGCCCCCGCACTGCAAGGCCAAGTCTCAACCACTGGACCATCAGCAAAGTCTTCAAGGTCTTTTAAAGGAAACAAAAAGCAGATGGACTGGACTCATCTATACCAATGGTTTGAAATTCTAAAATGTAATTTCTGTGCTAAAGAAAGCTACCTTTACAGTCACTTACTCTTTGCTTAGAGAGGAAGCTAATGTAAAACAAGCACTGCACCAAGGTCTTCAGAGGTATTACATAGTTTGATATATGATAAGATTTTTGGAGGGGAGGGGGCATGCTGCATGGCACATGGGATCTTAGATCCCCATCAAGGGGTCAAACTGGATGTGCCCCCTTGCAGGGAAGCTTGGAGTTCTAACCACCGGACCACCAGGCAAGTCTCTGATGAGATATTTATATTAACCACTGTCCTTTGCAGACAGGACTAAAATTATAATTTGCATACACACTTGCCCAGCTTCCCTGACGCAGGCCTTGGAAATTTTCTTTTCCTTTCACTCTCCCTGGACCACAACATCCCTATAATCCCACACATCCTTCAAGATCAGTTTCTCTTCTATAAAACCTGCTTCTCTATGGTTCCACGGTACCAGGAGCCCCACAACCATTACACTCTGCCTGCGTCACAGCTGCCAGTACCACCCACTCCACAGAGAGGCTCTAAGCATTCAGTGAGAAGATGCACCTAACGGCCTGCCTCAGTGCCCAGCACGCAGTCGAGCTCCACTCAGAGGATACTGGTGCTATATGTGTCTCTGTTTCTTCTCTACCAACACACAAATTCCACAGTATCCAGGAAGCATGCCTCACACCTAAAGGATGGGTGGTTAATTTCACTCACAAAGGAACCTATACATACTAGTTATCCCTTCCATCAGCTCATCTTTATATCCAGGAGAACATCAGAAAAGCTGTTGGGCCAAAATGAAAGCAGAAGGATGCTTAAAAGACCAAACTGGAGGACTCCTCTGGTGGTGCAGAGGGTTAAGACCACCTTCCAACGCAGGGGATGCGGGTTTAATCCTTGGTCGGGGAGCTCAGATCCACATGCCTCTCAATGAGAAACCAAAACAAAAAACAGAAGCAATGTTGTAATGAATTCAATAAAGACTTTAAAAATGGTTCACATAAAAAAAAAATCTTAAAAGATCACACTGGACTTGGGGGGGCGGTGCTGGGGACACGTGTGGACACGAGCGGCCCACAGGCGAGGTGGCGGCTCCTCCTCACGCTGTGCCCACGTGGCGAGCTTCTGCCTTGCTGTGAGATCTCCTGATGCAACAGGAGAGTTTAATGAAGGGCTCCCGGGGGCAGTGACACAAGGGAGTGAGCCGTGGGAAGGAAGCAATGAAACTGGAGGTAGGAAAAAGCAAACAGAACTATAGACGACTAATATTATTAAGAGAACATACAGACACCGTCGCCTCCCCGGCATCTATGTGGCTCTGACTCAGCGGCTTGAAGCCACTTAACCTCCTTCCTGTCTTTGTCTCAATCTTGACAGTCCCTGGATGTCAAGGGATGATTGGCTCCCCAGGCGTCACCCGTGAGTTTATCTGAAGAAAGCACAGCTCTCCTGAGCACAGCTGGAGACCGCATTTTTTTAAAAAAACACTTCTTAAGAAATGGTAAGATTCTCTTTGAAGGTTTCTCTTTTTGTTTTCATTTTCCATCAGACATAATTTTCTAAAACTGAACCTTGTGATTCACTGAATGAGATGATTCATAGGCACCGTAACTCTGGTGAGGCAGAAACATGAATGATTTTTATCAGTCCTCAGAGAACACTAAATAATCTAAAGGTTCAAACCTGGCCCCATACACTCTGTGTTAGATAGAAATACGTTACTTCAGGAATTTGTTGCTTGTTCAGTCACTCAGTTGTGTCCTACTCTTTGCAACCCCATGAATGGCAGCACGCCAGGGTTCCCTGTTCTTCACTATCTCCCAGAGTTTGCTCAAACTCATGTCCATTGAGTCAATAATACCATGCAACTGTCTTATCCTTGGTCACCTCCTTCTCCTTCTGCCCTCAGCATCAGGGTCTTTTCCAAAGAGTCAGCTCTTTGCATCAGGTTGCCAAAGTACTAAAGCTTCAATTTCAGCATCAGTCCTTCCAATGAATATTCAGGGTTGATTTCCATTAGGATTGACTGCTTTGATCTCCTTGCTGTCCAAGGGACTCTCAAGAGTCTTCTCCAGCAACACCAAAAACACCAGTGTATTACCAAATAGATTTTGATAATTCTACCTTAGAAACTAATTGCATAATACTTAATGGGTAAAAGAAACTCATGTTTCACTCAATTCACTCAGCAGATTCCTTACCTGGGGAGAAAAGGTCCATGTTTTGGGCTTCTTAGGTTGCCACGTGGCCCTGACTGTATGAATGTTGCTCAGAACCTGAAATGAGATTTTCTCATTTGGAATCATACTGGTGAAAGCTCTTTGGAACATTACCACTTCCACGCTCCAAACAGTGAACAGCAGAGCAGAGGGAGACGGGGGGTTATCTTTCTTCTTTGGGCGATTCTGTATTTCTTTTTACATCAACCACATACATAACTTTTAAAATGATTAACAGAAGGGAACATGTGAATGCTCATGGAATGGTATTGGGGGGGCGGTCCACAGGGCCTTGGGTAACCGGCAAGCTGAAGTGTGGCCCCACAGGCTGTGCCCTAAGTGTCCCATCGCTGAGACTATCCCACATCTTCAGGAGAAGGAACATGCTGGGCTGAAGAGCAGGATGACTGGGTGGGGCAGGGGCCAATGGAGGGAAGCAAGGGAGAAGGATGGGAGACGGTGAGCCTGGCAGGGCTTCCTTGAGAAACAAACTACTATCAGTCACTCAGTCATGTCTGACTCTTTGCAACCCCATGCACTGCAGCCCAGGAGGCTCCTCTATCCATGGGATTCTTCAGGCAAGAGTACTGGAGTGGGTTGCCATTTCCTTCTCCAGGGGATCTTTCTGACCCAGGGATCGAACCCACGTCTCCTGCATTGCAGGTGGATTCTTTACAGTCTGAGCCACCGGGAAGCCCTTGAGGAACAAACTAAAGTGAAAGTGAAAATCGCTCAGTCATGTCTGACTCTTTGCGACCCCATGGACCATACAGTCTATGGAATGCTCCAGGCCAGAATACCAGGGAGGGTAGCCGCTCCCTTCTCCAGGTGATCTTCCCAACCCAGGGATCAAACCCAGGTCTCCTGCAGGCAGATTCTTTACCATCTGAGCCACCAGGAAGGCCCAAGAATACTGGCGTGGGTAGCCTATCCCTTCTCCAGTGGATCCTCCCAACCCAGGAATCGAACCGGGGTCTCCTGCATTGCAGGCAGATTCTTTACCAGCTGAATGAACTAAGCCAACAGTAAATCATACTGATCCTCTGCACACCTCGTTACGTTAGCAGTGTTATTTCAAACGTATCCTTATACATAAACATATATATGCAGCCTCGTGAGCGGTCCCCTGTCTGCTCCAAGCTTCGCTATAATCCTCGGGCACTTCATTATCCCTTTGAAATACCCATTTGTTTGTTCATGTAACACATAACGGAGATGTTTTTGTAAACCAGTGCTGTTCTAGGCACTGGAAATATACAGCAGTGAACACAACAGACAAGCATCCCTTGTTCATGGAACTGGCAACGAGAAATAACCAAACAGACTCATGAGTCAGTGGACAAATCTGCCTGGCGCTGATGAGCACGGTAAAGTAAAGGCTGAGGAGGAGGATGGGAAGTGTGTTCGGGGTAGGGGAGCAATGATTAACAAAGCCAAGTGTCACAGCACTTACAAAACGACAAAAGAGCTGATAAATGAATTCAGACTCAGATCTCTGCACTAATAACAGACTGTACTAGTGAAATACTTAACAGCTGAGAGAGATTAAAAAGAAGATTAGGAGAAATTTTAGGTATAACTGAGCTTTTAAGAAATATGGCCCACAGGAGCATTTTATGTGCAATGATAACAAGATGGGGACAGTAGGGAGTTAAAGCATGTGAGTATCTTTGTGTGTTAAGGATGAAGATAGAAATATAGAGTGATTTTAGGTTTATGAGAATAATCTACAGCTAAGTAGGAAGCCTAGAAATTTACACATTGCAAACTGAGAGGCTTCAGAAGAGTTGGCTGACAAGGCCATGCACAGCTATTATTTTTTTTCTGCATGTTTCTACGTATTTGAAACAGTTCCTAATTTAACAAATATTGCTAATTTCAATAAAAGTCAGACTGTGGTGTAAAATACATGTAAAAGGAAAAAGAATAAGCAAATTGGAAGATTATAATGTTCAAAGATAAGAGTCTAAATGTGAGATTTAGATTTGTTTTCTGTTTCTCTTATTATTGGCAAAATAGGTATATAGTTTGTTGATGTATTATTTCTTACTGAGTTCTTAAGGCTTTTCAATCACTGTTTAAGGATGAAACATACAATGATGGTTGATTATAAAATGTGTCAAATATACCAGAGAAGTTAAAAGAAACTCACAGTACACCCTAAGCTTATCACCTAGATTCTGCCATCAACATTTTACTATACTTGTTTTATCACATATACCATCTAGCCATCCATCAGTTCATCTTACTTTTTGATACACTACAAACTTGCAGGCATAAGTAAACTTTTCTCTAAATATGTTAACATGCATAGCATAGAGTTCATTATTTGTTCACAGTTCTTTTTTTGATGGAAAATTTAATACAATGAAATTCAGAAACCTTATTTTTATCCTCTTGTAATGTCCAGAGTGGGGAAAGGAAAGTGGGATGGCTAGGGGTCATAGGTCCTAAGCAACGACATGGCAAGTGCTGTCACCAGAGGCCTAGAGAGGAGCCTGAATCTCATCAGGGTCCCAAAGTAAGGAGACACGCCTTTCCCCAGAGGTGTGTGCAGAGGCCCGGAGGGGAAGCAGGACCTCGTTCTCACCTGGCAGTAACAGCGTCAATGTGTGCGCTACAATAGAAGCAAAACTTATTAAGATCCAGACTCCCAGCTCTCAAAATGTCTAGGATACAATTTTTAAAAAAATCATTCATTACACCAATACCAGGAAAATCTCAACTTAAGTGAGAAAAGACAATCAAAAGATAACAACACTAACTCTGCTCAATATTATGTGGCAGCCTGCATGGGAGGGGAGCTTGGGGGAGAATGGATACATGTATATGTATGGCCTTTGCTATCCACCTGAAACCATCACAACATTGTTAATCAGCTATATTCCAATATAAAGTTAAAAGTTAAAAACAAAAGATACCAACACTAAGATGACTGATGTTGGAATTATTTGAAAAGCATTTTAAAGCAGTCATCTAAAAATGCTTCAATAAATATCTATGGAGATGCTTAAAATAAATTTAAAATATAGAAAGAAACATAGAGTCTCAAGAAAGAAATAAGGAAATTTTAACAAAAAAAAGAAAAAGAAAGAGGACCCTAATGGAAATTCTAGAACTGAAAAATACAATGAAAGTGAAAGTGTTAGTCCCTCAGCCAGCCAGCCTCCTCTGTCCATGGGATTTCCCAGACAAGAATACTGGAGTGGGTTGCCATTTCCTTCTCCAGGGGATCGTCCTGACCCAGGGACTGAACCTGGGTCTCCTGTATTGCAGGTAGATTCTTAACCATCTGAGTCACCAAACTTGAAAACAGACACATACACACACCTACACAAGTCACTGAATAGACTCAATCACAGAATAGAAAAGAGAGAAAAGAATCAGTGAGCTTGAAGACAGGCAAACAGAAATTACACAGTCTGAACAACTGAATAGAACAGATGGAAAGAAAATGGTCACAGCCTCAGGAACCTATGAGATTATAACAAAAAGATCTAATGTTCATGCTATCTGAGTCCCAGAAGGGAAGGGAGTTTAGAATTGGAAAAGTATTTGAGAAAATAATGGCTGAAAAATCCCCAAATCTGGCAAAAGACATAAGCCTACAGTTTAAGAAGCTGAGAAAACCCTAAACAGCATAAATCCAAGAAATCCACGACAAAGTATATAAACTTCTAAAAACTAAACACAATATCCTGAAAGAAATGAGAGAAAAACACCACCTAGATTCACCTATAGGGTAAAACCAAGTCCAATGAAGCGGAACAGTATTTTTTGAGTGCTTAAAGAAAAGAAATGCCAACCTAGAGTTCTATATCTAGTGAAAATATCCACCATGAATAAAGGGAAAGCAGGCATTCTCAGATAAAGAAAAACTAAGAGAATCTCTAGCCAGCAGACCTACCCTGAAAGAATGGCTAAAGGAAGTTCTCTAAATAGAAAAGAACATGATGAAAGAAGAAATCTCTGAATATCAGGAAGGAAGGAAGGAAGAACAATGGAAAGAGTAAAAACAAGGGTAGGGGTTCCCCAGTGGCTCAGTAGTAAAGAATCCGCCTGCCAGTGCAGGAGACATGGGTTCAATCCCTGATCCCAGAAGATCCCACATGCCCTGGCGCATGCCACGACTACTAAGCCTGAGCTTTAGAGGCCAGGAGCCGAGACTCCTGAGCCCATGTGCTGGAGCTGCTGAAGCCTCGAGTCTGTGCTCTGCAACAAGAGAAGCCCGCACGCTGCAGCTAGAGGAGCCCCTGCTCTCTGCAGCTGGAGGAAAGCTAAACGGTGGAAGCGGAATTATAATGCTGTGTGCTGTCGTGCTCAGTGTGTGCAGAGGAGATTCTTAGATAATCATAAAGCAGTAAGAGGATCAGAGTTTCTACTGATCACTTGACCTGGGATGTTGACAAGTAAACTGGAGGAAGTTACGCAGGTATAAAATAATACCTACTTATTTTAGTTCAACTACTAAAAAAGCTGTTCAAAGAGAGCCACTCAATAACATGGCAGGCACTTCAGAATGGAGTTCTAAAAAATGTTTAAGTAACACACAGGAAGACAGAAAAAAGAAAATAGAGGAATGAAAGAGAGGGAAGGAAGGGAAAAAATAAAACAGCAGACTCAAGAGTTAAGATTCCCCTCCAGGATCCACATGATTTGGGATGCTTGTCAGAGACTTGAGGGAATGGCTTTTTGTATATTACCCAAAATTCACAGTTGTCATCACTGGGTTAGTTGTTTGGAGAGGAGCATATTCAGTCATTATTGGAAGCAGTGTCTTATTAATTAGTTTTAGTAATAATGCTTTCTATTTGTGACTTGGCTTAAATTTACTAAAGAAGTATTCTTAAGTAAATAGATTCTCCAGGCAAGAATACTGAAGTGGGTAGCCATTCCCTTCCCCAGGGGATCTCCCCAACCCAGGGATCAAACCTGGGTCTCCCACATTGGAGGCAAATTCTTTACCATCTGAGCCACCAGGGAAGCCCAAATAAACAGAATGAGCATGTAACTGTTAAATATGGTCTGTAATCCATGATGTGGAAAACATGACATAA